GTGTGCTAAACAGTTATGGTATCTCCCGTTCTGCCCTGGCCTATTCACATTTCCTATATCCTCCAATCACTCTTTCATTGTCACAATATTTTACTTGCTTAATTAACTGTGGTACGGTGTGCCCTTTTGAGCGGCTCTCATGAGAACCCTCCGTACTGGCCTTCTCACCACCCTTTATCCTTGTGCTGGGAATGTTCATCAGAGTCTGCCATATTGTTACGCAGTCCTCCTTCCCCAGGTCTTACCACAGTCTCTCTCTAGCCCCGTATGATCAGTCTGCCATCTCCATGTTTTAGATATTTCACTCGACCCCTGCCACCCCATCTGTGCCATCTCGAGGGATCAGTGGGATTATTTCCACTTCCATCTCCCGCCTTGTATCTTCTGGATATTTATTTGCTATGTTGACAACTTCCACCAGAATATCACCAAGAACGTTTCCTTCATTACGTGGTGAAAATGTAACCCCTTCTCTAAGAGATCCGTAGTTTCTAAATCAAGAGGGATTGAAGCTAGGTTTACTACCTTTGTCCTATCGTCGTCTGTAGCAGTTGATGTATTCAATAAAGAACCATCAAAATTTACCCGGGTTGGCTTGGTCCTGTGGTGTCTTATTATCCCATAGCTAAGCAATTTCTTATCATGCTTCTTATTTATCAGATCCTGAACCCTCTGTGACTTCTGGTCTGTCATGCTCTGAAGTTTTTGAAAATCATCCAAAGTGAGAACCCCACTTAGATCCTTTCTTAATCTAGACTTGAGATCTATGAACTTAAATAGCTTACGCCTCTCAGTCTCATAACTTTCCTGTAATTTCTGGATTAAGGCGTGATAAAGTATTTCATTAACTGTGTACGAATGACACTTCCTCATTATATTGCAGAATCGGGGAGGGATACCATAATGTTTGAAACAATTCAAAAAGGCCAAGTGGCAGGATTGACTTACAATTCTCTTCTTTGTTCGGCTGTAATTAGTGCATTGTTTGGCAATCTTACTTCCATAGTTCAATCGAAGATATGAAGACCAAGATGGTGTGGCCTTTTTTGTGTGGTCGCAGTCTCCTTTCGTTGTATAGAAGTTGTTTGACCATGCTTTCGCAACTTGGTCATATTGGTAGGAAGATTTAAAGGAACGCATTTTGTCCTGAGTCCATTGTATGCATAATTATTTCAAAAGTCGGATCGTGGACATGGTACATTCCCAGACGTTTCGCCGGCATCGTCAGTGAGTTTTACCATTCGTAGCAGCATATTACAACTCGTCAAAGAGACAAGCGAAGCTGATCCTTTGACCAGACGTGTGCTAAACAGTTATGGTATCTCCCGTTCTGCCCTGGCCTATTCACATTTCCTATATCCTATAAGCACGCCTTCGCTGTCACAATATTTTACTTGCTTAATTAACTGTGGTACGGTGTGCCCTTTGGAGCGGCTTTCATGAGAACCCTCCGCACTCCACGCTGGCCTTCTCACCGCCTTTCATCCTTGTGCCGGGAATGTTCATCAGAGTCTGCCATATTGTTACGCAGTCCTCCTTCTCTAGGTCTTACCACAGTCTCTTTCTTGCCCCGTAAGATCAGTCTGCCCTCTCCTTGGTTCACATATTTCACTCGACCCCTGCCACCCAATCTATACCACCCGAGGCGTTATTGGCCCTGCTTGCTTTGGTTAGGTTCAATGTTGAACCACAAACGTTTGTTGCTTGGCTCACAAGAGACTAGGACATGGGAAGTCATAGACTTGGTATTAGAGATAGAAAGAGGATAGATGCGGCGGCAGTGGGACCTAGTGGGCTGACAGTAATTTGTATAAGAGACCTGGTCCATCTGACAAAGGCCTGACCATGAGACTTACTCAGAGGCTTTAGCCTCGAATTAGTCACCCAATCGCAGGGTAGGGCCAATAACGCCTCGGGTGGCACAGATGAAGTGGCAGGGGTCCAGTTAAATATGTAAACCATGGAGAGAGCAGATTGATCTTACGGGGCAAGAGAGAGACTGTGGTAAGACCTGGGGAAGGAGGACTGCGTAATAATATGGCAGACTCTAATGGACATTAACAGCACAAGGATGAAGGGTGGTGAGAAGGCCAGTATGGAGGGTTCTCATGACAGCCGCTCTAAAGGGCACACCGTACCACAGTTAATTAAGCAAGTAAAATATTGTGACAGTGAAGGAGTGATTGGAGGATATAGGAAATGTGAATAGGCCAGGGCAGAACGGGAGATACCATAAATGTTTAGCACACGTCTGGTCAAAGGATCAGCTTCACTTGTCTCTTTGACGAGTTGTAATATGTTGCTACGACTGGTAAAACTCACTGACGATGCCGGCGAAACGTCTGGAAATGTACCAGGCCCATGGTCCGAATTTGGAAATAATTATGCATAGAATGGACTCAGGACAAGATGAGTTCCTTTAAGTCTTCCTACCAATATGACCAAATTGCGAAAACAAGGTCAAACAACCTCTATACAACGAACGGAGACTGAGACCACACAAAATGCCACACCATCTTCATCTTCATATCTTTGTTTTTTGTTAGTTAATTAAGTTATCTATTACATAAATTGGAATTATTAAAGTTTCTATTTAAATGTTAAATATTCCTGACAGTATCATTATTATTGTAGTTGTTTGCTCTTGTTTTCGCAACTTGGCCATATTGTCAGGAAGACCTAGTGGATCGCACCTTGTCCGGATTCCATAGTTTGGGTGATAATTTTCAGAGTCGGACAGGGACTTGGTATATTCCCAGATGCTTCGCCGGTATCATCCGTGATTCTTGCCATTCTCAACACAAAGCTACAACTTATCAAAGAGACAAATGAAGTCAATCTCTTGACGAACTTTCTGCCGAGAGGGTCGCGATTTCATTCCTCCTGTTTTGGCCCCTCTATCTATTTCCTACTTTCTTTTCTCTCCCTTGTCCTATCCGCAACTTTTGACTTGTTTATATTCCGCTCTTAAATAGATGTGCCCTTTTGGCGATTTTGCAGTTGCTCATCGCACCTGCTGCCTGCATTGCCCCCCTCTATTTCGAGTGGCTGATCCGACTCGGGCCTCCTGTTCGGATCTGCCTAATGGACTAGAAAGTCCTTTTCTTATCTTTCTGATTGACCGATTTCATTCGGTTACAGCCCTAATGTACTCGGTTTATTTTCGAAACTTCCTTATCCTCTTTTTATTTGCGATCCCTTTTCCACTGGTTACGATAGATCCTTCATCCAAGCGTCTCCTTTTTACTTGCCTTGTATCCTTGTTTTCTCCGAGTTTAATTAGGCAATGGGTAAAATTTTTAGTAACTACTTTCTACATCTAGGTCTTTATATCTACTTTATATTCTTCTATTCATTATTTTTTTCCTTAGGATGCCAATGACCTCCCTAATCTTCAGTTTCTTTGTGTTTCCACCATATAAGTCTCTTCTTTCTGTTGCTTTCTCGTCTCCAGCCTGTGCGATGTGTTCCGCTATACCCTATCTTTCAGTACCCGTTTTGCTGTAGAGCCTTCGATATTTCTTGATTCATATTATGATTTTTCTCCCTGTTTTTTTCCAATATATTTATGCTCACAGGAGCCGCATGCTATACAGTTATTTTCCGAGCAATTCAGTTGGATTGTAGCATCACTCCGACTTATATGTTCTGTCTCGCAGTGGCTAGACTAACCTAGTCACCACATCGAGCCTCCTTGTTGAACGAGTCTTTAGAAGTACCCAATAGAAACTCCCTAGACTGAGGACTGTTATTCGCCACTCCTTTTGTGCCTTCATGATCCTCTGTGACCGAACAATGCTCTATTACATTGAAACCATACCCTGCCTTCTCATGTAACTTTTATTGTTTTAGTCGCTCGTTTTTGTTTCTCTTTACAAGGCTGAGAGCCATACAATAGAACAAAACCAATAAGTTATTTTTATCGGACATTTATATCACTAAATTGTATTTCGGCAGTGACTTATTTGTTGTTATTAATAGTGGATCTGCTAATTAAATTAAGACAAAGACTTGATTATCAATATCTTAGATTGACTGCTAAGTTTCATCACCACGTCTAATAAGATTCAACTATGACTTTGCTGACCCAGGTTTTACGTGCTTAGTTCGATATTCTTATGCAATGATGGCAACTTGAGGTCGATTTTATCAGTTATCCCCTCAAAAGCAGCAACTTGCCACAGCGATTCTACTACAGCAAAATGTAATGGCAAAATTCGACCATATCTTTATTTTGTCGCAGGCTGACCAACTTTCACTACCTGAACAGTTAAGCTATTAATTCATAAGTTATTCTGGGTCAATAATCATATTTCAAACACATAATTTGTTACCTAAATTGCTCTTTACTAGCTTAATAAAGCTTTCCGTTTTCGAATTTCAGTCTTAAATTCTGAAATTAATTGTGTTGGTTCGATCTCGCTTTTGCAACTTTGTTGCACAGTCAGAGAGGCCTTATGGAGCGTACCTTGTCCTGTTTCCTCTGTCATAATATTCATGATTTACAGCATCGGACCACAGTGTCTCTCTGATACTCCGACCAATTCGCATTTGTATTGTATGCATTCCTTTCCATGACACTAGATATTTTTACTGTTCCCTTACTATCATATAATATATATATGACTATGTTTTTTGTAACAAAAAAGAATTTACATAGTATAACTATATAGCTCTGTTAATCTAAGCTCATACTTCTTAGAAAATAAGTGATATTAGATAGTTTTTCGTTAGAAACTCTTAATTCGCATTCAAAGGAATCTTCTTTTTTAATCTCTCCTTCTGCGTTGAAGATCTAATGAGCTGTCTCTCCACCCACCGAATTCTCTTTGAAGATAATATCTCATCTCTACTTGATTTCATATTTTTACTCGATATAAACAGCTTTAGCTCTTGATTCTCGCTTTGGCTAGATCCATTTTATTATGAGAGATAACATTTTATTTCTGCCTTTTCTTTTTACTTACTTGCCTACTCCTTTAGGTTACGGTAAATAGACAACCTGGTCGCGTTTTGCTTCGCCAGGCCGAGGCAATTCTTGGTCAGCTTAAGGATTCCCATGCCTGTCTCGAGATCGCCTTCGATGGGGAGGTTGGCTTTGGTCTTGGCCCGACACTTGAATTCTACACTCTGGTCAGTCGACAACTAATGCATGCCTCTCTGGGGCTCTGGTATGGCAATGAAACTACTGAAGATGGTTTCGTTGTTGCACCTACCCCTGGCTTATTTCCGAGACCACTGACATCTTCTCGCAAAACAAAGGCATCTACTTTTAAAGAGGTAATAGTATGTCTTATTTTGACTTATATTGATATAATTAAGAATATTCGACTATCATTAGTGCATTGGCCTCTGACTTTTGAACAGTACCCGTGATGTGGAGCTATAGAGCATACTTTATTTGCTAATTCTACCTGCCTTTAAAATTACATTTTGGATATCTTATTGAATCTATTTGATGTATCTTCTTAACTATTAATCCCTCGAGCAACCACCATCTATTAGCTAACTCAACTTTCTATCATTTTAATATATTATTTTCGCAATTACTAACTAGTTTTATCATTTGAAGTTATTCTGGTTTCATACCATATATTCAGAATATTTGTTTAGAGTGGATATTCGCTACTGAGGTATTCTCTTTGCGACGATACCTAAGAAGACTGCCTGGCTTTATCTAATCACAATTTTAGATTTCCTATGGAAGGGTAGTAGAAGAGCTAGAGCTATCAAGCAATAACTACACTTACAGATACAAATTCTTTTTAGGTTGGATTGCTTTTAAAAACTACAAAATATTTGTAGATTAGCTGGGTTTCACTGAATCTCCTGAGATTACATTGTTGGCGAGACCTTCAGTTCGTATGAAATTGTGCGAAGAAGATATTCGTTGGTTGATCTCACCAGAAGACGATGGCTGAATCCCGTTGTATTGCATCCATTTGGCTTTAATACTATGTTCATGTTGATGCAGTCCACGAGGCGTCCTCCTTCGCTTTGTGTTAAAATAATCTCAGTCTTCGTCCATCATCAGAGCTGCAACTTATTCTTGTAAAAGTCTCACGTTAGTACTATGTCAAGAAGATTATCCCGCTTATCTTACCTCTTATATAAAATAAATTTTTAAAAAATAATGGGCATAGATAGCTATATATATATGACTATATATAAACGATATAATAGAGTCGGGCTGTCCTCTTGACCGCCATTTAAAAGAAGGCGACTCAATTTGTCCGCTCAGTGATGGTTTGAACTTCATTCACACTCGCCCAACATTTTAGATTAAGCTCATCAACCAAACCAGGCGTACCAAATTACACGGCCTTAACCATGCCTTTCCTTGGGTTGTTATACTTTAATGACTATAGACTAAGAGGCTATGACAAGTGGTTTCGTAACATTACTTACGTGCTAACATGTTTACATCTCATTATCTCAGCCATACTTGCCTACGGACTCTCGAAGTCTCAATCAGGGATTTTTCCTGGGTAATTAAGTCTTGATGATCAGAGTCTGACATTAACTTTTTTGATCACTCTGATTTACGGCCGTTGATACATATATATATACACACATAAGGACCAGTATAAAGACCTTTAAAAGAATCAATTTCAGTTCTTATGGTGTCCGTCATATGATGGACGAAAGCTCGGCCTATTTTCACACGAAGCGAGGTAGGACGTCTTGTGGACTGCGTCAACCTGAACATCGTATTAAAGCCGAACAGCTCCAGTACAACGGGATTCAGCCGTTATCTTCTTGTGAGATCAACCTACGAATATCTTCTTCGTGCAATTTCATACGAAATGAAGGTCTCCTTGACAATATAATATAGTTATTCTGAAAAGAATATTTTAATAGTAGAGGATGCTCTTTGCTTCCAACTATTCAAGTGTTAATTAAGATATTAATCAATATTTCCTTAGATCGTTGAAAGACAAAGTATCATAGCTTCTCTCTTTGATCACATTCTTTTGGTTCTTATAGGTTTTAAAAGTTTCTTCTTTCATCTCAACCGGATGTAGTACTTCCATGGCTTTTCCAAAAATAGATAATCAGCCATTTTATGCTGATTTAGATTTCAAACTATCCATTGTTTCAAAGATTAATGCTATAGTTGTGCTTTATTCCAGACCTATGGCAGATTTAATGAACTAGCCAAAATTAATTAAGCATGCATAACAATTTGATATACTTCAGTAATTTAAGAAATAAAGGCTAAGATCTAATTCTTGTCTTGGTATAAGATATTTTTTACTCGCTTGTATTTCTTTCATTTTCATTTGCAATTTCTTCGCCTGACTTTCTTCACAATTTTTTTTTGTTATATCGCGCATGTTTCTTTATTTTTAACTCTAGGTACGCGCTAAGTTTATCTTTCTTGGCCGACTAATGGCGCGTGCTTTACTTGACTTGCGTCAACTTGATATGCCTCTATCACCACTCTTCTTCCGCGCTTTCCTCTCCGTTCCTGTTGAGGCCTATTCCAGTTCCTCAGAAACTACTTGTTCTGCACGGGTTCCCAAGATAAAGTTGGGGTCAACCATCGCTACCTCCACTGGTACTTATGTCTCCGCCTCTATCCATCCAACGCTGGCAGGTCATTATGCATTTTCCACCAGTGATCTCGCCTTGCTTGATCCCCAACTGGCTCGACACCACCGCCAGTTGCGTGCTACTGTCAATAAACGAATCCGTTTGGTCAAACTGATCAATCGAATTGCTGACCAAGTTGAGTCACGCCAAAATGTCTCTCCACCTCGATTTAATCATTCTAGACTACACCTGCAACAAAGGCAGCATCAGCAAGCAACTATTAGGCAGAAGCAATCTACGGGCCTCGTCTCATATCTTCCTACCAATCATGTAGAAGGGTCAGCCTCCTGTTCAGGCAATTCATTCCTATCTCCTGAAGCAGACAGCAAAATATGCACTCCAACGCGTATCATCCAATCCACTAATAGCGATGAATTTAACCAAATTTCGTATTCAAGCGACATTGACTCTCTAGCGGAGAGTAATACAGGTGAGGCCATAGGGAATCAAATTCTAGAGCAAGAACGGCCACAGACAGTCCTTTCGGAGTCTTCGACAGGCTTTTTACCTACTGATCAATTATCGGTCTCGGTGTATCTGCCCATCATGGACCAACCTGAGGGCTCTAGCGTATCAACTTTTCAGCCTCAATCCACCCAGCATCGGCTGGCTGAACTGAATAGACATCTTAATGAACTAGATCAAGAAGTAGAAGAACTATATCTCAACTTTGTGCTGCCTGGTTACGGGGCAAGTGGTTTTGTATCACTATCTTTTTCGAGCTTTTCGATTATTTGGTATTTTAACTTTGAATTAAGAACTTGACCTTGCTTTTTAAGCTGATTTAAATTGCCAGACTAATTTGCTTC